GACGAAAACGAAAATGAACCGAGGTCTGTTGCAATATACTTGCCAGGGGGACATCGAGGGACCAGGCATGAGCGTCAGTTCTGAAGTTAGCACGGCTAGGATGTTGCATTGTATCTTGTGGAACATAACAAGTAAAGTATGTGAGAGTAAGATAGAGTGTGTCGTTATTATCAGTATAGTACACAATACATATTGAAACATGGTGGCAGCGACACAAATCCAGCCCTGGAGAACAGCGTTCTAGCGCACCACGAGGATTGAGTGAGTGGCTAGCGAGAGGGAGCTAAGAAGACGACCCGAGTGACAGCACTACGCACGAGTGGACATGGAGAATGCAATCAAACCGCCGGGTAAAATTGACTTTGATGATGCTAACTTGTCACATGCGTGGAAAAGATGGAAGGAGGAATTCTGTTTGTACATGGATCTAACTATGGAAGACAAAGATGATGGATACAAGGTAAAACTGCTGTACTACTTGATTGGAGAAAAGTGGAGCCTCGCAGCGGCGAAATGAGGCCCCCTCCGCGAGGTGAGGCCCCACCCAGTCTGCGTGATCGGCCTGTAGGGAGGGGCGGCCCTGGTTAAAGGTGTCCAACTGGAGAAATGGAGCAGAAAGTTAATAATGTATAATGACACTTCACTGAAGCCCCTTGGAAAGTGCACACAGACAGTGTTTAATCCACGAAACAAGAAATCTTACAGGCTTGAGTTTGTGGTTGTCAAGCAGAAGAAGCTTAAACCTATACTAGGAAGATCTGCAAGTGAAGAAATGCAGTTGATAACAGTACAGCACCACAACATCCTGACTGTGGAAAAAGAAGGAGCTTGGACAGAGGAGCAGATTAAAAAAGAATACTCCGATGTGTTTCAAGGTGATGGGTGCCTCGAGGGAAAGCTAAAGCTTGAAGTGGATCCAACAGTAGAACCAGTTAAGCTACCAAAGAGAAGGGTGCCAGTTGCTTTATACAAGCCACTAAAGGAGGAACTTGCAAGTTTACATGAGAGAGGGATCATAATGCCAGTGGAAAAGAGCACTGACTGGATCAGTAGTCTACTGACAATAAGGAAGCCCACAGGAAAACTGAGAATTCTCATGGATCCTAAGCCACTGAACAAAGCACTCAAGAGAAGTCATCACCCATTACCAATTATGGAAGATATACTGCCTGACCTGAACGTGGCACGTGTGTTCACAGTGTGCGATGTGAAAGATGGATTCCGGCATGTGGAGCTGGAGGAAGAATCCAGTTACCTCACAACATTTGCCACACCTTTCGGCCGCTACAGGTGGTTACGCATGCCAGTGGGAATAAGCCCAGCCCCAGAGATATTTCAAAGAAAGCTGAATCAAACATTGGAGGGGTTACCAGGTATCAAGATAATTGCAGATGACATCCTGATTGTAGGGGAAGGAAACACAGAAGATGAAGCCGTGAAAGACCATGACAGGAATCTGGAAATGCTGTTGCAGAGATGCAGAGAGCGAAATGTGAAGCTAAATCCAAAGAAGCTACAACTAAGGCACACAGAGGTGCCATACATTGGACATCTCTTAACCTCAGAGGGGTTAAAGGTGGACCCAGCTAAGGTGGTGGAAATCCGAGAGATGCCCCGGCCCACAGATGCAAAAGGGGTAATGCGTTTTTGGGCAAATTCTGTGAACACCTATCTGAACTGTGTGAACCTCTGTGAGAGCTGACCCACAAGGATGTGATATGGGAGTGGGCAGAGCGGCATGAACAGACTTTTGAAAGGATTAAAACGATGATCTCACAGACTCCTGTGCTGAAATACTATAACCCAGCTGACGTGCTAACATTACAGTGTGATGCATCAGAGAGCGGGCTTGGAGCGGCCCTAATGCAAAATGGACAACCTGTTGCATACGCCAGTAGAGCACTGACAGAAACAGAAAAAGGCTATGCATAAATTGAGAAAGAACTGTTGGCTGTTCTCTATGGAATGGAGAGGTTTCATCAGTTCACATATGGCCGGCCAGTGGAAGTACAATCAGCCCCTTGAGAGTATTATGAAAAAACCACTGCTGAGTGCTCCAAAGAGACTACAATGCATGCTGATGAGACGACAAGCATATGAGATCAAACTCCATTATTGTCCTGGAAAACACCTACTGCTGGCAGACACGCTCAGCAGAGCCTATCTTACAGGGCAAGAGGACAGAGGCTCAGTAGAGAGTGAAGTGGAGTCAATCAACATGGTACATTATCTGCCAGTGTCCAGTGAGAGACTGCAGGCAATTCAAAGAGCGACAGAGCTAGATGCAGAACTGCAGGTCTTAAAGAGTGTTATTCAGCGGGGATGGCCTGTGCTAAAAGAACATGTCCCCATAGAAGTGGCAAAGTTTTTTTCACCACAGAGATGAACTGAGCATGCAGAATGGAGTCATTTTCAGAGGGGAGCGAGTGGTGGTGCCTGCAGCACTGAGGTCAGATATCATGCAGAGAATTCACTCCTCACATATAGGCATCAAGGGTTGTCTGAGAAGAGCATGTGAGTGTGTATACTGGCCAGGCATGAATGCACAACTAAAAACACTCATGGAACAGTGTAGTACATGCAGTGCATGGGGAGTAAAGCAGCAAAAAGAGACGCTGAGACCAAATGAGACACCAAAGCGTCCCTGGGAAAAGATAGGAACCGACCTGTTTATGTTTAATGACAGGGACTATTTGATAACTGTGGACTATCTAACAAACTTCTGGGAGGTGGATCGTCTGGAGAATACAAAATCTAAAACAGTGATTCGGAAACTAAAAGCTCACTTTGCTAGATATGGAATTCCAGATGTGGTGTTCTCAGACAATGGTCCTCAATACACATCGGAGGAGTTCAGGAATTTCAGCAGGTCATGGGACTTCAGACACAAAACGTCCTCTCCAGGATACCCGCAAAGCAATGGGAAAGTGGAATCGGCTGTTAAAACAGCCAAAAGGCTGATGGCTAAAGTTAAACGGGCAGGCAGCGACCCCTATTTAGCCACGCTGGATCACAGGAACACTCCACTGCAAGGTACGGACTGCAGCCCAATGCTCATGGGGAGACGAACCAAAACCCTTCTGCTTATGAGTGAGGCTCTGTTGAGACCAACAGCAAACAGACGGAATGAGGGTGTCAGAGAAAGTGAAATGAGACGAAGTGAACACTACAACTCGACTGCAAAAGACTTACCTGAACTGCACAGAGGGGACAGGGTGCGAATCGAACCACTCACTGGGCAAAAGCGGTGGTGGAACAACGCAACAGTCATTCAACCTGTAGAGCAAAGGTCCTATGAAGTAATGACAGAGGAGGGTCAGGTCTTGAGAAGAAACATGAGACATATCAGGATGACCAAGGAGCTAGATGAGGACATCACAGCAGGGGAAGGAGCTTATGATGAGCTGAATGGTGAGCCTGAACCAACACAGGACGAGAGCAGCAGCGCAGAGGCAGAAACGAGGCCGGACGGGATGCCCCACACTCCGCGCACGAGGTCAGACAGGCCTGTCAGAAGGCCGGCGCGTCAGAAGGACTTTGACTGACAGTTATACTTACTCACCACTAGTGAATAGGTATATAAAGAACAAGATAATATGGATACAGGAAAAGACATTAAAGGTAGGGTAGGTAAGTTTGAGAAACCGGCTCGAGATCCACTTCCATGGAATGCTCTTAACATCCCGATAGCAATGAATATCTTAAGTGCTTTGACAAAAAATCCATAAAAAAATGTCATCTGTGGAAGCCGTAGTACTGTAAAAAGTACGACCAATCATTTTAGCCGGCCCGGCTAAAATAACTGGATGGCCTACCTGCCTGTCAGCCTTCCATCTGTGTACAAACTTATCTCGTGCCCTCATTGGTCATGTGCGCGTTCGTGTGTGTTGGAGGAGGGGCTCTATAAGGAAGTGGCAGATTTTCTCCGGTTGTGTATTTTCAAATTCTAGCGATCTCGAGCCGGTTTCTCAAACTTACCTACCCTACCTTCAAGATACAAAATGTTGTCCAAATGTGTGACTGCTAGTCATTTGTGTAATATTGTTGTTTGTGTTATTCTTGTTAAGTATTGGCAGTTTGTGGACAGTTACTTATATATATAAAAAAGAAAAAAGGGAACATGTTGCAATATACGTTTGCCAGGGGGACATTGTTTGTTGAGAGAATGTATAATAATAGGCTACATATTGAAACAAGGTCGATATATATATATATGTCTATATATACAGTGCAATAAGCTTCTTAGTGCAATAAGAAGCTACAGGGACGTTAATCTACGTCGGTAATATTAACTTTATTTAATACAACATTTACGGTACAAGATTTACATCATACAGCCCATTTAGTATAATATTTTACAAATGATGAATTACAGCAAACATGTGCAATATATCCATTATTACAGCTCCGTGGGATGGCAGCAGTAAGGCGATATGGTCCCTTCTTATTGTGCATCCATGGGTAAAAGGTAAAACGCATGTAGTACTGAGTGAACACGTAACATGAACGTGCCGGGCAGCGCGGTCCCGTGGGTTAGATGTTCATAATGCAGAGGGAAATAACTCTCAGAATAACGTTATTAGCACATTTGAGGACAGAATGTTTTCAAAGTCAAAGTCAGCTTTATTGTCAAGAATTCTACATGTTGTACATCCAGAAATAACGAAATATCGTTTCCCGCAGTCCTACAGTGTGACATATATACATCAAACAAAAAACAAAAAGGGCCTAGATAAGCGTGGTACACATTAAACAAAACAAAGGACCTAGATAACCGGGGTATACAGTTTAAAATGTTAATAATATATTTAAAGTGTTCCAAGTACAGTTTCAGTGCAGTAGCAGCGGAGATGGGCAGAAAAGTGACTGGTGCTGGATGAGGGAGGTTGGTTGGGCTATACAAACGTTCATACTGGGTAGTTAATTTAGTTTAAAAACAAATTATCCAACGATTTACAGACCACTCTTTCCCAATGTAAGTCAATGGAAAAAAGTGTTTCCGGGCCCAGCAACCTAACGGAAGTGTAGTACCGCCGTTTGGCCACAACGAATATTCTCATCAGAATCCGGCGCACTTCCCGGGGGCTTGTCTCCGACGATGCAGCTTCCTGCTACTCCTAAAAGCAGCGAGTATCCCCCCTGTGTAAGGCACAAACAAACAAACAAGGTAGAAGATGGCTGATTTTTGTGCAAGAAAGGAGGTCTTTTCGTGGACTGATGATGAGGTAGAACTTCTACTTAGGGTCACATTAGAATACAAAACGACCAAATTACAGGAGAATGTTGACTGGGAGTCCAGCAAGATGAAGTATAGCGACATAGAGGAGTTATTTCAGGCGCAGTATCCGGCGAGGACCGACACAGAGAAGGATTTCCCTCACGGCGTGGGCGCCATTACAAAGTCCCAGCTTGCCGCCAAGCTAAAACAAATCCGCATGAAGTACAGACTTGCGGTGGGCACTAAGCGTCGGAGTGGCCAAGGACGTGTTGTGCTCGTGTTTTTTGAGCTGTGTGAAGAGGTCTGGGGTGGCTCGCCTGCTACGCGCACCCTTAGCTCGGGCATCGAGGCGGGGGACCTGGAAGGGTCGTCTTCCGGACTAAGTTCACCCCCGAGTTTGGAGCGTTCCAATGATTCGCCACAGCCAGAGTCGAGCGAATCCAGCGGAAGTCTGCCAGCTGCTGCGGTTGTACAGCATCGCAGGGATCTGATCCAGGTATGTTCATGATTTCAAGCTTAACGGACTTTCTACATACTACGATACAGTACCTTCCACAGAAAAACTGAACATGTTTAAGCTTTTTAAAAGTAGAAGGTATTGAGAGCTGTTGTATTTGTAAAAGTAGAATGTATTGAAAGCTATTTCACAACATGCCTTTGGTCTTATGTTATCTGGTGGCTATGGTCCTATTGTGTAATAATACAAAAATGCTCTGGTTTATTCAAGGCAAAGCTGAACAGCCACAGAAGTGACCGCCTGAAGAGAAAACTTCCAGCTGACCATGCAGTGCAGGAAGACATCAAACTAAAAAAGAGGATGTTGGAGCTAATGGAGCAAACATCCATCCGCAACGCAGACAGCATGCAGCAGATGAATACCACCATGGACAGCATTAACAGCACTATTCAGGATGGCTTTTCCCTGATAAGGGAATTAATTAATGCACACCCCCACAGTAACAGCGGTGGACATGGACAATTCCAGGAGCACTCGCCACCATGCATGCATGGAAGGCCACACCCGGCTACACTGCCCTACACACCAAGTAGGTTATTGAAATGCAAATGTAGGTTATTTAAATAGCTATGAGAGGGACTTGTTATGTCAACCAATCAGCTATATCTCCTTCATCATTTAAAAAAGAGTGAGATTGAACCCATAAGAGGGTTTCCCATGACCTTCTGAGTAATACATTCCAAAAACCTTCAGAAAAAGCGTATAGTCATCGCTAACTTCTTGGTAAGAAACCCAGTGACTCACGGGGCACTTCCAGCTTCACACCTGCAGAAACACTTCTACCCTCCTTCTGTTTCATGGTGTTTGCCACAGTCTGGTGATACCTCTCCAGACCAGCAGGTAGAGTGCTTTCCTCACTGTAGCACTGATGCAGTAAATACAAGAGTAATCTCCCTGACTTGCAACTTCTGCTGCTGACAGTGGCCTTCTGCAAGCTGAGCTCAAAATCATAGGTTACTTTAAAAGGACAGAAAAGTACAGGCTGCAGCTTTCTGGGGTGAGAGAAAAAAAGAAACATACTTTTGCAGATGAACGTCACACAACAGTACTAGCCCACAGAGCGGCAGGCTGACTTCAACTTGAGGTAGAACAGGAAATGTCAGCAGAAATGAGAAGCAGCAGAGGGTAGCGTGCCAAAATCAAACCACAGGGCACAGCTAACCTTTTCACCTCTCAAGGGAAGTGACTATTGGCCTCATTTGTGATTACCCTTATCTTTCTCTGTAATCTTGTTCCACCAAATTATTACTTGCGAGTATCTGATGTAAAATCTTCCTTTTTGCTAACTTCCAATGTAGAACTTGTTTGTTAATATGTCTCTGTGTGTTACACTAAGGTCATATTTTCTGTTTATACATTCTGTCAGTTTTGATCATATTGTAACCATTTGCCCAACAATTCTCTGATTAATGATAAAATTGACTTTCTTGACACAAAAAAACTTGAATGACCTGTTGCATTTGTACCTTTTTCAATATATGTTTCAGTGGATGCATTTCATGTTATTGGTAATCTCCCAAGTCCAAACTTGAGTTTCTTCTCTTGTCTTGCACCACATTCTATAATCGTTAAGATGGAATAAAGAGATCCTTCAAATATGAGTGTTTGTATTTTTGTCAAGTTAGAATCAACAAAGAGAAAGAAACCTGAGTACCACATCTTTAATGAGTAAAATATGTGTGTGTGAATGTCACAGTGATTAAAAAGTGGACGACATACCTCTCTCTCTTTCCTGCACTTTCTCTCCTTCCTCTGCAGGTTACCATGGCAGCAGCGAGTGTGTGACAGTCATGTGAAAACGAAGCTGATTGGATTAAAATACTTTGTGTGATCAAGGGTCAGGAATACGGCGCATGTACTAAACACACACACACAACACTAACTCACAAATCAAGAAAGGCTGCCGTGCTTTCTTACCATTTATTCGTTTTAGAGAAGTAACCATGATGTGTGAGTTACTTTTGCCAACTCGTATTACACTATCTTGATTACATTTCCTGTCAAAGGGCTCAGTCACGACCACAAGACCGTCCACCCACACTCGGCTCCTCCTGGCTCTGGTGTCATCTTAAAGAAACAGGACATTAAATCAGCGTGACCTCGACCTTCACCTTCAGCCACTTTGTGTCAAAGTCACTGGAACAGTCGAGCATGCAAATCCAGATGCAGAGAGAGAGTTTCAGTCATGTTTCAGACGAAGTAGCTCAATCACGTGAGCTTTTAACTTCTGAAACTTTGTACAGACAATATGCTCAGTTGCAAATTAATTGATGGTTCCCCTGTGTCTCCTGAACGTCTGACCTCATTAGGACGCCTCAGTGTAAACATGTTAAAGGGTCCGTCCCACTGCACTCTGACAGTTCTTTATACTCCCCTGAGGGTGTTCAAACCTCAACCTCTCACAGGATGTGACAAAAACAAAGACGCCCAGACAAAATGTCCGCAAGAAATCCCTGAGTTAAAAGCTGATGTAAGTAAGGATCTGACACAACGCTGAGTTGATTGGTTAATACCATGTGTTGTGTCAGAGCCTTACTTGACCCAGTGCTCACAAAACAACAAATAAGGACTTTGTGTCGGAAGAGTAATCCAAAATTAGAGCAGATCTGTGGTATCAACAAAAAGCTAAGACCAGTGTTGTAAGAAGTGTTTTAGATCCTTTACTTAAGAAAAAGAACAGTTACTATGATCTTAAAATACTCCATTACAAGTACATGTCCTGATTTCAAAATGTTACGTAAGAAGTAAAACGTATTGGCAAAGTACTCATTCTGCACAATGGCTCATTTGGGAATAATATAATGTACAGAAGTATAATCAACTAAATAAAAAAATAATTATGCAGAATGGATCTTTTCACACTATTATATTATATCATTATTTCATTCTGTTTTTATATATGTTACAGCATTTTAGTTATTGGTCATTGTGTACCAAATCTAGATGCTTAAAATACTGTGTTGATTACTACAGTACTGCATTATACCCTATTACATTACATTGCATTTAGCTGACGCTTTTATCCAAAGCGACTTACAATAAGTGCATTCGACCAAGAAGATACAAACTTTGAAGAAAACAGAATCATATAAGTACATCAGGTTTCATAGAGCCAGTAAGTGCTACTCAACTGGCTTCAGATAAGCCGGTCCTTTATTAGTATATAAGTGCTTTTTTAGTAATTCTATTCTGTCGAAAGAGATGAGTTTTCAGTCTGCGCCGGAAGATGTGTATGTATATGTATTAGCATATGAAACTAGTATTAGCATATGTAACTAGTAACTGTGAGTGTTAAAATAAATGTAGTCGGGTAAAAAGTACAATAGTTGTCTCTAAAATGTAGTGGCTGCTAAAGTAGCAAAAATAGAAGTACTCAAGTGAAGTATAAATATGTCAAAAAACGACTTCAGTACAATACTTGAGTGCATGTACTTGCTTACTTTCCACCGCTGGCTGAGATGCAGAGAATATTTGTTTAAACTCTTACTGCAACACATCTAAGTGTTACGCAGAAACGAAGCAAAAGGCCACCATTGCCAACCCTGGAGCAAGAAAACCCCAAAACAACCTCTGTCTCGGGTTGTTAAATCGACCAAAACTTTGGCCCAGCGTTTTAGTGTGGGGGCTTTAAAGACCATTCGCTTCAAATTCACCATAGACAGTAGCCTTTTAACTCTTTCTTCCCCTGCAGATTTAAAAGAACAAGGACTTTTTGTTGTAGTTTGTTGTCCTCTTAATTACACATCACACTTTTTATGCCAGAAATGATGTATAATGAAGTCGGCAAAATGGGATTTCTTTCTGATCATCAGGCTAGTGTGGTGGGAAATATAAACAGTACATGTGGACGACACAGAGGGAAGTTGTCTCCAGCTTGTCATCTGTAATGTATGTGAAAAACAACCACTGTAGCATCCCATAACAAACCAGCTTCCCACCTCATCCCAGCTGCTTCCCCGTCTCTTCCCCTTCGTCTTCTTCCCTCCAGCTCGCCTCTCATCCAATCAGAGCCGAGGGAAGCTGCGAGGACAGCAGCTGTACGGCACAGGAGAGGGCCATAAAACGCAGAAGGCCGAAAGAGGAAGTGGAGGGACCTGGTGAGTTATTGCCCCCAAACGTACACACCGGGTCCTGGGAACTGGGAGCTTCTCACAGGGGGGGTCAGTGTGGACCTGCTCTGCACTCTGTGTTCTTTATCATCTCATCACAGACCTATGATGACCCCTCACACCCCGCCATCATAATACCGCATGTTTAAAAAAGAGTAGACTCTGTAATAAAACCGATGTAATAAATGAACCTTTTTCCCAGCACTAAATATGTGCACACATCTCATACTGTGTGCTAGGATTGCCCTTCAGGTGTGTATGAATATGCCATAAACAGGATATAGGGGAGAGAAATGTGACAATCTAAACACATTAACACTGAGTGAGATGATTTGCCCAGAGCCATTAAATAACGAAACACTTCTTAATTATGATTTTTAAATGTCTATTGTTATATAAATGACCCTGTAAAGGTCCCTTATTTAAACATATTGTAACGCAAGGCATGGCACGTTTATTCACCTTCCGACACAAGGCAATTCAAAGCAAACATTAAAGGGCCCATGTCATGCTTTTACGGTTATTACCCGTCCCGTTGTGTGTTATGAAGGTTTTTATGTATGTGAACGGTCTGCAGCGTCACAAACCCTCAAAGTACACCCTGTAGCGAGTAAAACTCTAACACAGTCTATGCTGCCCCAAAACGCCTCGTTGGAGATTTCTCATTTTCCATTGTTTGCTTCCTGGGTACTGTGACGTGTGAATACCCAAATCAACAACAAATGACCAATCCGCGGAGCACCTCACACACCAGGATCCCTTGGCTAACTAACAGGGAGTCCCCATTGACTTGCATAGAGCTCCCTGAACGCTGGTAATAGACGAGTTGGGGTCGCGGAGAAATGCTCTCTGCAGACCCATTCTCACAGCGTTAGAGATATTTTTCTCACTCAATATCAAGCCACACTTATTGTTTTTACTTCGGCTGTGAGTGTTTGTGTGTGCTCAGGATGAGTTTCGCTTGTTCTCGCTGTATCGCCGACCCGTAAATCTGTCCGCTCCTCGCAGCAACAAGCTCGCAACGAGCTCGCAACGAGCTCGCAACGTCCCGACCAATCAGAGCACACTGGGCTCACAGGGAGGGGGGGGGCAGGAGCTCCAACAAGCCGTTTAGGACAGAGAGTGAATACACAGAGATGCTGTATGAGAAACCAATGCGATTTTGGAAAATTGCACAATTTAAATCTATTCTAGTAGACCTCAAGAATGGAAATATGATCAGTAGAAATGGCCATGACATGGGACCTTTAAGAGCATTAAGAAATAGTGCAGCAGAATCACGTTATAAAATGGCATTTCAAAACAGTCATTAAAAAGCAAAGAGAGTAAAATAAACACAAAACAAGACAGAGGTATAAACTACATGAATAAAATGATTGTAGTGTATACCTAAACTTCTCAGATTTCCCAGTGTCTTCATTATTTATCTCTCCATTTCTTCAGACAGTAAACATTGTTGGCATATTAATAGTGTCATATCAAGACACAAGCTCTCACACAATGCAGAGTTGTGTCTGTGAGAAAGTGAAGGCTCAAGTGTGAATTCCAGCCATGCCTGCCTTTTAGCAGCTTGTGAATTTATGGTACAATTAACCCTGGAAGATATGCAGAGCACACTCACTTTACACTCTCTATAACTTTCAGCACACAAACCTGCATAGAAACACAGTCTGCACTCTGCACACATGTTAAGTATTGAGCATGGAGGAATACTAAAAGGAAATATGTTCTGGAAACGAGGGATGTTGTGCAAGAATGTATCATGTCACACTTTAGATTTATGCATACCATATTCTTCATGTTCGTGTGTCTGGTTTTTGTCCTTGCATTGCCATGTTCTTATGGTTTTATCAGTGTTTTGTCTCTATGTATGTCAGTTTCAGTCATACCTTATGTTTGTCACCTTTTGCCCAGCCGTTTTCTCTAAATGTAAACCTGTTTGCCTTTAAATAGACTTTCCAGACACCAAAGAGTATAACACTTGCAATTCCTGTTTCATATGTGTATTTTTCAATGGTATAATGGTCTACAGCTGTAGTGGAGCTATAGGAATAAACTCAGTCTGGGCGCTAGTTCTGTATTCATCACTTTATTTTCACACCAGTGTGTCGGCCATAACACCACTTAATGCCAAACATCCAGAGCAGAGAAATTAAGAGCTGAGATATGATTGATGTTCTCTTTACCTACTTCTCTTTGCAGTGACGTGTGTGTGTGTGTGTGTGTGTGTGTGTGTGTGTGTGTGTGTGGTTTTCCTTTACCTATTTGCTATCACATAACCTGTGTTAAACTGATTGGGCTGATTGAAGCCCACTACTTTTGACACTTAACACTATGTATTTTCCATGCATTTCCATGTTTAAAATGACTTTAATGAGTGTTTTGTCCTTATTTGGGCACTTCTGTTGAATATATCTTATGGCAGAATAGAACCAAATTTATCATTTATGCACTTAAAGGTGGGGTAGGTAAGTTTGAGAAACCGGCTCGAGATACACTTTTTGTTATATTCCATGGAATGCTCTTAACATCCCGATAGCAATGAATATCTTAAGTGCTTTGACAAAAAATCCATACAAAAATGTCATCTGTGGAAGCCGTAATACTGTAAAAAGCACGACCAATCATTTTAGCCGGCCCGGCTAAAATAACTGGATGGCCTACCTGCCTGTCAGCCTTCCATCTGTGCACAAACTTATCTCGTGCCCTCATTGGTCATGTGCACGTTCGTGTGTGTTGGAGGAGGGGCTCTATAAGGAAGTGGCAGATCTTTTCCGGTTGTGTATTTTCAAATTCTAGCACACTCGAGCTGGTTTCTCCAAAATTACCTACCCCACCTTTAATCTCTTTAAACATCAAACTATGTTTTAATCCTGTTTGTCGTTTAGTGTAGTTTCTCCTCTCCGATGTGCTGTTCTCATCCCGTCTGTGTGGTAAACATCATGGCCTGTGGCAGATTAGTTTAACCTGCTGCTCCCCTTGGGCCTCGGGGACCAGGGCTCGGGTCCAAATGTGTGTGCGAGTTATTTTCTGTGTTTAAATGTTTTGGTGCATGCAACAGACGTGCAGCTGTGCTTAAATGCGCACCCCTTAATGTATGTATGTTGAGACGACCTTGGTTGGGAGACTGAATTTGACCTCACTGAGACCTTTGTTGAATCTAAATGTCCCCAGCAGTGAATTACATGCAGAGG